AAAATTAATATTTAAACTTTTATTAAAGAATTTTAAAAAACACAGGCAAATTTGCCTGTGTTACAGACAAAGGGATAAATAATGGATTTAATGACAACGACCAGTTCTATTCTTTAATTACGTGTAAAACATGAATGTAATGATCGTTAAAAGTGATTACATTTTAATAATAATTTCTAAAGGAATATAAAAGTAACTGATTTCTTCTTACCGGTATTGTTTAAATAAAAGTTTTTCATCTAGACTTTCATTTCTCTCCATTACTTTTCTCTCCCAATTTTTTTCGCTGAAATCACTTCTATAAGTAAATATTCTTTCACGCAACACTTTTTCATTTTTCCACATTATCTTTTTTTTTCTTTTCTTCGTTTACATAAAGTAGATATTCTTTTCTCCTTTACAACTTTTTTTTTTGCTAAAATCACTTCTATAAGTAAATATTCTTTCATGTAACACCTTTTCGTTTTTCCACATTACCTTTTTTTTTCTTTTCTTCGTTTACATAAAGTAGATATTCCTTTTTCCTTTACAACTTTTTTTTCGCTGAAATCACTTCTATAAGTAAATATCCTTTCGCGCAACATCTTTTTGTTTTTCCACATTACCTTTTTTTCTTTTCTTCGTTTATATAAAGTAAATATTCCTTTCTTCTTTACAACTTTTTTTTTTGCTGAAATCACTTCTATAAGTAAATATTTTTTCACGCAACACTTTTTTGTTTTTCCACATTACCTTTTTTTTCTTTTCTTCGTTTACATAAAGTAGATATTTCTTTCTTTTTTACAACTTTTTTTTTGCTAAAATCACTTCTATAAGTAAATATTCTTTCGCGCAATATCTTTTCGTTTTTCTACATTACCTTTTTTTTCTTTTCTTTGTTTACATAAAGTAGATATTCCTTTCTTCTTTACAACTTTTTTTTTCACTGAAATCATTTCTATATGTAAAATTATTTTCACGCAACACCTTTTCGTTTCTACATATTACCTTTTTTTTTTTTTCTTTTTTTGTGTTTACATAAAGTAGATATTCCTTTCTTACTTACAACTTTTTTTTTTCGCTCTTTATTCTTTTTTTTTTTTTTTGATCTTTTACTAACGTTTCCAATATAGATAATAACTTCTTTTAATATTTATGATTTTTTTTTTGATTCCTATTTGAAAGGATATAGGAATATCAGATTTTCTAACTTTTTTTCTTAACATAGATAAATATCTTTTTCAATTCACTTTGCTCTTTTTAAATTTTTAGAGAATATCAAAATATCTGGTTTCTAGCTTGATAGCATTTCTGATATAGGTATTATTTTTTTAAAAATAAGAGATGTTTCAATTATATAATATTTATTTATTCACATTAGTTTTTTTGTTTAGTTTTGGAATTTTAGAAGCATTTTGGTTTTTTTTTTGTCTAATATCCATACTATGATGCACAAATCAACTTTCTTTCATTTTAAATCTTCTTTAAGATCATGATCCTGTAAAATAATTCTACAAAAAAGAAATCGTTCCTTTTCATCTTCTGATTCAAGTGATTACTGTATATTCCCGAAAATAAGCTACTCCGAAAATAAGCTACTTTCTCACTTTTGAGCCAAAAACTCAAAATTCTCTCTTACCTGAAAATAAGCTACCTCCCCAAATTTTTTAAAATTTTTTAACAGTTGATATATATAAAAGACAAATTGTACTAAGTAAATATATATTTTGACTATAATAGAAGTTGTTCAGAATTTAAAAATACATATATTCTAAAAGTTTTATACAATTTGGATAACTTTTTATTAGTACACTTTTGCATTTTAAATTTGAATTTAAAATGCAAACGTGTACTAATAAAAAGTTATCTAAATTGTATGAAACTTTCAGAATACATGTATTTTTAAATTCTGAACAACTTTTATTAAGCTAATTTTACCGATTTACTTAGTACAATTTTTACTTTTATATATAGAAACTACTTTTCATATATAAAAACTACGTTTATTTAATAAAAAATAGTCAAAAACCTCTATTACTCAAAAATAAGCTACTCCCGAAATTTTCGTGTAATTTTTTGCCCAAAAATGGTAGTTTATTTTCGGGAATATACGGTATTCACTTTCTCATTCTCACTCTCATGCTCATCTATCTCGCACTATCAGTTTCATACTCATCAATCTCGTTCACATCGTTCTCGAACTCGTCGTTCTCACTCTTGCTCTCATCGTTCTCGCTCTTGCTCTCGTCATTCTCAATCTCGAACTTATCATTCTCGCTCTCGAACTCGTCGTTCTCACTCTCGAACTAGTTGTTCTCGCTCTCGAACTCATTGTTCTCGCTCTTGAACTCGTCATTCTTGCTCTCACTCTCCCTCTTATTCTCGTTCTAGCTCATATTCTTGCCGAAATTCACATGATCGTAGTAGATTGGTTAAAGGTATATTATTTAGTGGATAACCAATAGTAATATCTGCAATACCATAATGTTTAGGTAATAGAAGGAAATATCAAAAAGTTAACAATAGAAGCGCTTTGGAAGAAGGTTAAGTAATCTATTTATATTAATTTTTTTTTTGTCTAATACGAATATCAGCTAATAAAAATAATATTATTATAGAGAATTCAGCTTTGAAATCTCAAGTATCTCGACTTAAGCAAAGGTTGCTTTAGCTAGAAAGAGCATACTCAAATACCTCAGACTTACTATATTCACAATTGTCAGCTATTGCGGATAATTTTGTATCGATGATAAAGCTATTCGAGAAAGGTCATTTTCTTCTGAAAAACCCCGTGATCCAAATGGAACAAGGTTCAGGAAAAGACAATTAATTCCAATGGATTCAGAATATAAAGCAGCTTTTAGGGTATATACTTGCTGTTTTTAGTGATTTACTTATAATACTAACAATAAGAATATTGGATTATATTATATTATAATACTAACAATAGGAATATCGAATTATATTATATTATAATTATAGAAAGAAGTGCTCCGGGCTGCAAAACAATTGGAAAATGACAGTTCTGATTTGAAATTGGATGAAAAAAAAGGATGGCAGGATCAAAAAAATTTTGTTAAACTTACCATCTTCCCTGCTATCAAAAAATATATTAATAAAAGCCTAGAATATCTTGACGAAGAAGTTGTTCTGGTCCTCCAAAGCAACTATAAGAGTGTTTCAACAATCACAAAAATTATAGCGGATGAAGGAAAGTTGAGAGCAAATAGGAGAAGGACCAGAAAAAACTCTCAAATGCAAAATATAAAATTTATTAATTTTATATTTTTAATTTTTTTTTTACTGTATAAATTATAATTTCATATACGCCTACTTGCTTTCTTGCATTTTTATTTTTTTAGAAAAAAAAAAGAAGAATGGATGGGTTGCAGCATATGATTCGGGTTAAAGACCCTGCTATTGAAAAGTATCACCCAAGCTCCATGAGCAAAAAAGCTTAAAAACAAGATCTCGCCAAAATAGTCGTTGCAATGGCTTATCATTCTGATGAACTATCTGAAATGGATATTGAACTTGTAAGAAAGGAACTTAATGATAATAAACGTCCAAGTAAAGAAGATGAGGAGGTAGATAATAATCATGTAATCAAGGTCTACGCTTTGGCATGGAGATCCAAAAGGGTAATTTTTATATTTTGTTTTGAATTCTTTTTTTTTTGATAATACTCATATCGGACTAATTCTACCTTTTTTTTTAAATTTCATTTTAAATTTATTAAAATTTCATTTTGAATTTATTTTTTTTTAATAATACTCATATCAGACTAATTCTACTTTTTTTTTTTTAAATAGTGCAAAAAGCTTTTCTATAAGGCTGAAAACATAGCTTTAACGAACCAAATTCATAAAATGCAGAGGTACCGACTTCGAGAAGATAGCTGAAAAAATAATACAAAACCACTACTTAATGCTCCCCATTGGATAATTTCTTCATCCTACGACTATAATAACCGAAAAAATGTTTTTTTGGTGCAGCCCAACAATAATAATTCGGAATCAAATAAAATTTATAATTCCGAATCGGATGGTTTGGTGTCTAACGGCAATAAATCAAATAATGAAATTGTGCCCGATAATAATGATAATTCCGGGTATAATAATAATAATAATAATAATAATAATAATAATAATAATAATAATAATAATAATACTAATAATAATAATAATAATAATAATAATAATACTACGTCGGCGTAAGTATTTAAAAAAAAATGTTTAAAAGTTTTATGAATTTTATTAATTTGGCATTTTTTTTAGCTCCAACAATGTTTCTGAATCTGATTATGGTAATCTTAAAACTGAACAACCGTACGTATTTAAAGTATACTTATAAGGTTTGTAATATATTTATTAATTTTTTATTATTTCAGAACCAATAACTCTGAAACAAACAATTCTGACACGTCTAATTCCATGTCTAACTCCACATCTAACTCCACGTCTAACTCTACGCCTAACTCTATGCCTAACTCCACGTTTAACTCCATATCTAACTCTTCTACACCTAACTCTACACCTAAATCTATGTCCAACTCTACTACGCCAAAATCTATATCTAATGCATCTAACTCTACATCTAAACCAACATCGAAAAGTAATCGCCAAAAAAATAAAGATCCTAAAAGCTCTTCCAAAAGTTCTGCCTCTTCCAAAGGTTTTTCTAAAAGTTCTTCAAAAGGTTCTTCAAGAGGATCTACCAAAGATTCCTCCAAGAGAAGAGGTCGTTTTAATGTTCCCACTACATTAGCGAAATATACTAACATAAACTTACGCAAGTTATTACACCCCCCGAAATATTGGCAATAATTATGGTCTGGACATAATATTGTGCAGAATATTGCGTAATATATAACGTAATATTACAAAATATATTACGCAATATTATGAAAAAATAGTGTAAAAATACACTATAAATTGCGAAATATTTCAAAATAATCGAAATAGATACAAATAAATCAAAACGGCAAAATATTTATAAAAAAAATAGCAATATTTCGAATTTACAAATAA